TATATCAATGCTACAAATCACTCCCCCCCCCACAGAAGGAGCTATCCTGGTGACCTATGGACCGGGTAGAATGAGTGGTTCATAGTGCAGTTTCAATCGATCGACATGAACAGTCTTGCGACCACGACTGGCATCGGTCTGTTGATGGTTGAACCGGCTCAACAATATAGTTAACCGGTGAGGACTGACGTAGGACTCGATAGGGGCCTTCGTACTTCGGCAGTAGCTTGGTGGAAAGACCAGGAGCAGATGAGGGAACGCGAAGCCATGCCAATGTGCCAGGCAAATATGACTGAGGGGGCAGGTTTTCATCGTGACGGTCCTTCTGGTACGCTTGATCTTGTGCAGTTAAGGAACGTGGGAGTTGCCTGCAATCTTCCGCATAGGTGGCGACTTCTGATAGAGTTGTGGATTCTGAAGCGTCCGGATAGAAAACTCCTCACTAGGTTTGGGCATTTCGAGCTGACAAGCGTAATGGTGCACTGGGCACTCTGGATTATTCCTGTTAATATTTGGAAAATTACATGTCATGCAAAAACGCTTAATTTCTAAGAATGCCGCTTGCCCTTCTCGCGTGTTTGCGCCCCAAGATCTAGGCAGTGATGTACAGCAAGGAATGGTCCTGTTTTTACATTGCTTCTTTACGTTGACATTGGTGGGCTGACGTCGCATACCATAAGCTCTTCATCAAATCTTCATTAAATGCTAGCTATATGTAGAAAAACTGATGAAAAATGTCCCGCTTCCTGATTATATCCTGCATTTTAAACGGTACTTTATTAAGAAGTGTTCCACGTGACATTACTCTACTTGGCATGTACAATTTGTGTGTTCTGCTGTGTAGCATGAATGAGGAGTACTTTCGTTTGGGCTAGCTACTTCATATCATTTTGAAAGGGAAGCGTAAAGACAAAAAAAGAAAAAGAAAGACAGCGCTCTTTGACTCTATGTCTTTCTTTTCCCTGTGTCTTTTGACCCGCATGTCGCGGGTTCAAATCCTGGCTGCGGCGGCTGCATTTCCGATGGAGGCGGAAATGTCGTAGGCCCGTGTGCTCAGATTTGGGTGCACGTTAAAGAACCCCAGGTGGTCAAAATTTTCAGAGCCCTCCACTACGGCGTCTCTCATAATCATATGGTGGTTTTGGGACGTTAAACCCCACAAATCAATCAATCTTTCCCTGTGTCTTTGCACTTCCCTTTGAAAATCAGTATAATGAATGAAAGCTGAGAAAAATAATAAAAAATGCAAATGGAATCTCAGCTTATTATTTTTGTTTTTGTTTTGAATAGCCTCAAGATGCTATTCACTAATTGGCCCTCGTTTCGTGTTTGCAGGCAAGGGATTTAAGCTTGCTTCTTCGCATCATGCTTTGGTGGCTCATAGCAAACCAATTTGAAAAATCACTGTGGTAGAACGCTTTTCTAGGCACGCAAGAAGTTCTAGTGTCTAACTACAACTTATTATGTCACCTAGAGAGGGACGCTTAAAAAGTAAATTACAAACAAAACAAAAGCCACGTGCACATCACACTTTTTACCCGAAGGCACTGCGGCAGATAGGTTACAATGTCGAAGAAAACACGCCTTCATTGGCAAAACACACTTTGTTTTCTTTATGAGCCATTTCATTCTCTCATAAGACTACCAAAAAACGAATTACTAGAAATATTATATCTGGTACGACATACTAAAATCTTAATTACCATTGCGCGAAGAGGACTGTTTACACGCATTCATTTTCGGATGCGAGCTTTACTATGAAATGCTTGACATAGGAGCTTTAACCACAGTGTAATACGACGCGATGATGGTAATTCCCATTCTAGTTCATTTTTCATACTGTTACAGCTATCATTTTTGAGTAATGGCTTAGGAGAAATTTTATAAATGTCAAAAATAAGAGCAGGCCAAGAACTGATCCTTGGTGTACACTTTAGATGATGAGCCTATGTTGTGAAAAGGCACCATCGATTAATACTCTTTTATACCTGTGTAAAGGTAATCTTTCAGAAGTGACAAAAATGGACCAGTAATACCGTAACTTTCTAACTTGGAAAACAAAACTTCATAGTTAATATTGTCAAAAGCTTTTCTAAAAATCAATGAACATTGAGCCAGCTAATGATCCTCTGCCCAAGTTTGTTCGAATCCAGTCGATAAAGCTAATCACAGCGTGTTCTGTTGAAAGACCAGCACGGAACCCAAACTGTGGCGAGGACAGTATGTTGAATATTGCGAAGTAGTTCGATATACGAATTTCGATTAACTTTTCTACGATTTTGCTGAAAAATGAGAGTATAGAAATTGGCCTGTAATTTTCTACTAATGTCGGATCGCTTTTCTTTAGTATTAGAATTACTTTAGTGACCTTTAGTTGTTTGAGAAAAATTCTTTTTTCAAAGATCAAGTGGACTATATGGCAGATAGCTTCAGCCATAACGTGTTTAACTGATTTATTATGTATTGAGTGTATCTTGTCTAGGCCAGCTCCTGCATTCTTTAGCTGTTTAATGCCGTTCGCACTTCATCAGTTGTGCAAGTTACAAAATAAGTTGCTTATCTCTTTGGAATTGTATACTATTCTGTTGTCGATAGCGACAGTCTTGATGGCAGCTGTCTTGTTATCACAATTTAGGAAATCATTATTGGAATTGCATTTTTGTTTAACGTTGGTGAATGCTCCAATTTTTTGTTTCAAGTATTTTTTTTGCTTGCTTTAGGGCACCGTCTAACTCTGCAGAAACAGTCTTGTAACGTTCTTTAAGTCAAGTGTCTAATGGCTTCCTTTTTGCTTTTCGACATAGATTATTTTTCTTGCAAAGAGAATTGACACCTAGGGGCAACCTGGTGCACCATATCGCTTGGTAAAAAGCATGCCTTTAGTGCAAACTTTTACTGCTTTTAAAATATTCAGTGTAAACTCACGCAATGCCAGTTCAGCATCAGAAAAGCATAGGATGTTAGAAAAATTAATTCGCTCTATTAACTCTACATAGTCAGATAGGTTGAATTTCGTCCCATGTACCTCTCTTTTGGGAAGACTACAAGGTAAATCAAAATAAAAAGGATTGGATAGTGATCTGTAATATCTACCTGTAAAATTTCCGAATGAGGGCGCATATCGATGTTATGTTATCTATTATTGAATTTGAACCTTGCCTCCTACATTGGGTAGGAGCATTAATCCATGGCTCAAATCCAAAGCCTGTAAAACAGCCAGTGAAGTCTACAAAACCGAGATACTTTTGTCTAATAAGTCAATGTTGAAATCACCTAAAGTGAGAGCATTCTTATTTTCTCGTGAAATTTTGTCTAGTGTTTCTGATAATCCCGCACAAAATTCTTTGACCGATGAAGGCAGTGAGCATTAAACCATGCCAATGATTGTTTTTTTCCATGAAATGTGAGGAAAGAAGTTTTCTATTTTGAGCCATACAGATTCTCATTTCGGAACATTGATAGACGGATCGGTACACCTTTTATGAGATACGGTTTGTGATGCGAAAATAGCAACACCACCGTGAGGGCTGTACCACGTATTGTGGGAAAGAATATAAGGTTTCGTCTCCCGATGAAAGCCATGTTTTGGTTACACAGATGAGTTTAAAGGGATGAACTGTATTATGCAGCAATACTATAATGTCATCAAAAGGCCTTTTTAAGCTACGGGCATTGACATAAATGGCTAAAGGGAGTTCACGAGAACCGTTTTTTTGGATAACTCTTATGCAGAAAAATAATCCATGAAGCAGTTGGTCAATTGTCATGAAATACACGCAAGTCACTTTCGCCGAAAATTTGGAACACCTTGCCATCCACATTCTTTCTGGCCTTAATTATGTAGTTTTCTGTCCATGGGTAAAGCCATCTAGTTTCCTTTTTTTGCTCCAGTGCCATAGCAAACAACCTCTTGTCTAGTGGAGTCAAGTGTTCCTTAACATATACTGCAGCATCACTGCTGCCGGAGAAGCCAAGACTCCCAATTGTGAAATGTGCCTTCCGCGCCTTCCGAAGAAAGTCTGCTCGTTTAGCATGGGAGCAAAAGCGAACAATAAGGTTCCTTTTTCCAGCATCTCGCGTAGAAACACGGTGAACAACATCAATGTCCTCTACCTTCACAGGGCTGCCAATCTTGTCACCAATTTTCTGAATTATTGTGAGGCGGTGTTCAACTTGAGTCTGAGGGACTCCTTGTATCTCAAGATTATTTAGGCTAGAATACTGATCGAATCCTTCTACTTGATGAGCAAGCAGATCACTCTGTTCCCCAGTTTTTTATTTTCGGTGACAAACGTGGCATGCGCTGATTTGAGGTCATGGAAACAATCACTGATGACTGACATGCTCTTTTTGAAGCTTTCGAACTATTGCTGGAGTGCCTTAAATTCTGCCTTATTTTTTTGCACCAATTTTTTTTTGAATTAGTAATAGCCATCAGCAAGTCCTTCATTTTGGTTTCAAAAGTACTGTTCAAAGTTTCAATTTCTTTTGCTAGTGAAACAACCGTTGGAGCTATACTGCACAGGCGATAGGTAGACAGTGTGAATGCACGAAAGCTTGATAAGGAGCTTAAACAGTACTTGCAGGTAGGAGCAGTATTAGTTTGATGCCAGCAGCTGTCTGCTGTCTCAGATCGCCCGTGCAGCAATGGTGCAGCATGCGAATGAACATACACCTATTTATTTATAGCAAAATTTCTCACAATTTAAATTCCACTCGAGGTGAATACAAAGACTGCAATATTCGAAGCGCTAAAATATTTGCAACAAGCCTATTTCTGTGGTACTGAATGCTGTATTGATAATATACTTTGTCGTTTTTGGGGCTGGTGATCAGGACTTTGTGTTTGTTCAAAGCTGGACACAACCTGTTGCTTCCTGCTAAGCAATGCATTAAGAGCACACTTGCAGTATGTAAGATGTTCTTACTTTTGTTCCTCTACATAAATTCAGGGTGTGTTGTGATTTAGTGTGAGTCCTTGTCCTCTTCTTAATTTGCAGCGTTGGAGACGGAAGGCATCTTCAGACGCTCTGCCAACACGCAAGTGGTCAAAGCGGTGCAGGCACTCTTTGACCAAGGTGAGTGAGGCTGGTTTCGAGGTTTCACTGTTGCACCACAGAAAGGCACACTCCAATGCTACTGGAGCGCATTGGGCTGTCTTTGCACCAAAACATGATCGTATAGCGGCACCTTGATTAAAGTGGCTTGTTTGGCAAACATGCTCGCAGTTATTGGTAAGAGAATGCCAGCAGCACCAAAAGAAGGGAAACATAGATATGCAAGAAAAAGAAGAAGGACTATCAACCGACTTTAATTTAACCAATGTTGGTTTTGATAGTCCAGCTTCCCGTGGTTTCTTTTCTTTTCTTTTGGTGCTGCTGGCATTACGTTAGCTAAAACAGTACCTTGAGTCAACAGCAGTGCTCTTCTTATGAGAAATGAAGGTAAACACAAGACACAATATGCACAACATTGTGGAATGATGCCTAAAGACAATTGATCACTTTTACTGAAACTAGTTATGATAGAAAAAAATAGAAAAGAACACTCCATGCATTCCAAGATTTAATGAAATGCCACTTCTGCATTTGTTTGTATTGAATGAGAGCGCACTACTTAGACGCGGACAGAAAGACAGTCTAAGTAGTGCGCTCTCATTTCAAAACAATCATGTATCACCAACTCGCTCAATCAACCATATTGACAAATCTGCATTTGTGTTTGATATGCAGGAAAAAGAACTTATTGGCGTTACCATGAAGACCAGCATGAAGCAATGCTTCTTTCGCATACGAAAATGCTCGTTCTTGTTCTGATTACAACATCATCATGAAACTGTGGCAAATCACCATGTGTGAAAACGACCTCGAATGACAATTCATCATAAGTCAAGAACACAGCACCAAGGTGCACAATAATGGCATTTGAACTGGTTCGAAAGCATCAATTACTACCACTCTGCATGTTCTGTCACGACGAAACTCCAAATTGCACGAGTTTCATGGTGTACCACGAGTCTTTAGTGCTTCTATCAGGCGGCTTTCTCACTACCTGCAAACACCTAAAGTGCGGATGAGGCGCGGAATGACTTTGTTGAATGCCAAATGCAATATAAATTAGCCTCTCTAAATATATAAATTAGTTGCTAATGATAGGTAAAACAGGAGTAGGTTGTATTCATTCCCAGGGGTGGAAGTGCTGCGCCAATCGCATCCATTCTGTGCCAGGCTGTGCATAAGCGGCAATCGCCGCTGTAATTGTTCATCGGAAGTGTAAACAGCAAAATCTAGCCGATTATTATCGTTGACCAAGCAATACTGAGCATTGGCTAAACCAAGGGCGCGGCTGCATCCTCAGGCTTCAGAATTGTCCAACCCTAGAGAAACGAGCGCGTTTTGTCTGAATCTGGCAGCGCACAGGTTGCCAGAAGTGAAAAATGGAAGAGCCCCAATGGTTGGAGTACATGCTCGTTTGTTGTTTGTAGACAGCATTCTTATTTTCAGCTTGTGCACTTCAGTAAGTCATGCTGCGTTACTGCTGAATCTGGAGTCTAAATAAACATTGCATCACTCGCAGCAATAACAATGATGACTGTGCTTGGAACGACGTCAGGCAAAGCACTGCCGTGCACAGTTTCCTCATGGGCAGGTGACAAGTTGGTGTGTGCAATCTTTGCTGACAACAGCGTATGGTGCTTCAGTAAATTTTGATACTTGTTAGCATCTCCAGGTGCCACCTCAGATGGGAGTACAGAAAGTGACTTAATCAGTGCAGAGTATGACGTCACTGTTTCTGATAGAATCAGTGCTGATATCATGGTTGACATTGCCAGTGTCGTGGGAGTGGGCCCCTGTGGTTATGAAGAGGCTAATGACGCTGCTAAACATTTTACCCCGCTACAGAGCTTGCATCGGTGCTCATCATCAATCATCGCTGTTGTGGCTGAAGGTGCTGAATTTGCTTATTTTGAAAGCTTCCATGTATGATAATGAGGATATCTTGATGGCATGCAGGTGAAAAGACAAGTCTACAGACTATTTTCATCTGAAATAAAGTGTGGTAACTGAATTGCAAAAGACGTCATCTTTTTATTGAGCTTACTGTGAGCAAATCGTCATGTTAATGCTTATTACAATTTCCAAAAGCCATTTCAAGAGTTGCAGATACTAATATGAGCCTAAATACGCATATTTTTTAATTTTGAGCTATCGATGTATCAACTATTTCGTGATCCCCTTCGAGTTCGATATATCAGTCGACTGTAATTACATGCGCGCTATTTATCTGGAATGGCGGCTTTAAGCACCCTTGCTTGGCTTTATCTCATCTGCACAGTTTAGTTTGTCATTGTTGCGAAAATCAGCATACCATGTCACAAATGAAGGCTTCTTTATCTTGCGATGCCAGTATTGTTTTGCAGAGGCCGGGAAGTCATCATGGTCCTCCTATAACCTATCACCGCAATGTCTCGAGCACAGTAACTAACTGTGATTGCTTAAAAATTCAGAGGCCGGTGTTGATGATTGCTTCTAAAGCTCGCCTTCACCAAGACGCATCTTTTTCCACATGCGAGTCTATGGAAAATCAGTGAAACATTCCCATGCATGTTTCACACAGTTGACCCTTGCAAAGTACTGGCTGCTTGCCTGAGATGTTTCCAGCTGTCCCAGCTATGGGTAGCTCTTATGAGAAACACTCCTGAATGACCTCCCAGCCAATGTCTTTGAGTAGTGGCTGTGCACTTATGTGAGTTGGCATTGTTGGTTGCTTGCAGGCAAGTATGTCAACTTTGATGCCTACAAGAATGTCCATGTTGCGGCAGTGATCCTCAAGACCTTCCTCAGGGAGCTGGAGGAACCCCTGCTGACCTTCGACCTTTATGATGATGTCATGAGCTTCCAAGGTGGGGTCATCACATAATAAGCATAACAGAAAATCGGGCAAGTTATTACAGTACAAGTTGAATATATTTCACTGTAGTGCAAGAAAAACGTAGCAACGTAGCCCACGATATGAGTTTTAGCAGTGATCTGTACAGTAAGCCACAAAAGTTTGCGAATCACGCGAGCACGTGCCAAACTGCCTGTTCGTGTTACCTAGCGGTGGGTCATCTACCGTTGACCACAGTGCTATGCCGGAAATGACTCTTCTTGTTATTCACTAACATTTAAATTTTCTACTGCCCCGTAGTGCATTGTTAGTTCGCTTATGCGCAGTATGACCGTCACATTTCTACTTTCATAGCAGGGTCAAAGCTATAACGACGTGCCTTGAACGGTGTTCCATAGGCTCAGTATCACTATGTGATAAAGATTGCTACTGATAACAGTTAAGTGCATAAACTGCTCTCGAGGCAGAAGCACGTAAACGTTGGGGGGGGGGGGGGGGGGTGCTAACACCCCCCTGTAAGGTTGTTTGTGCTGTGTAGCGCACGTGTCTCTCACGTAGGCCGCATTTAGGGGGTCACAACTATTGAGCGGTACGTGGTGTTGTGCTCGCGAGTGATTATCACCATCATCATCATAGTTGTTAGAATGGTAGCGCCAGCAGTGATGCCTGGCAGCAAGCCTTGGTGGTGGCAAGGGAGAGCTGAGGGGGTCTCTTTAGCGTGTGTCGGTTGGCGCGAACGGTTGTCTCTAGCGGTGGGTCTGCCGTAGGCGGCACCATGAGCCGTCTGCGGTGGGCCTTCGTGGTAAGTCAAGCATTGGCGACACCACCTTGGGTGTGGTATTGTGTTTTTTTTGTCATGTTGGGTGTAGTGTAATATTGTGTTAGGTTGTTTAGGGCCTTGATGACAATTGACGTATAATAACTCGGCTGGCGATATTGTTGTTCTAAAGGCAGTTAAATAAATGTGTGTGACCTGGTTCAGTCCGACCGTGTGAACTGCGTCTGTTCACTCCAAGAGCGGGGCCTGCTCGTCATTTGGAGACCCAACAACGTAGATGTCACAAAGCCCGTCGCGTTAGAAAGCGACAGGTGAAAGTTATTTGTACCCAGTCAGAAAACAGACTGGCCATAGATTAAGGAGGGGATGCATTTTAGGTGCTGTAGTGCTGTTGATCGCAGCTGACGTAACGGAAGTGTTGCAGAGAGGTTTTTGGCCACACACTCGCGTGGTGTGTAAACTTATGTGGTCGACTGTACAATTACAGATCAACATTGTAGATGTTACGCGTTTCCTGTAATGGCTTGGAAGTCGGTGCACACATTTGCACAGCTTCCTAAGTGAACAACTGGCGCTCACTTGGCTTCAGTGTGCTACGTATAGCTGCTGAGGGTCACCTTGCTAGAGATGCTGCTATGTTTCACGATCGGCCGACATTCCACAGTCCAAGACCAATGTTTAGAGTATTTTTCTTTTCCTTCGCTCGAAAGGACTTCACCCCAAAAACAAACTGTGCATAGATTTAGGGCCTGATATTTGATTCTTCTTAGGCAGAGATTGAAGCTGAGTCATTGCAGCGTTATTAGGTTTTTTTTTAACCATGCAATAAATAACTAATTACTGTAACACGTAGAAAAGAACACATTCTTTCTCTTTTTTTCTGAACACAATTGTGAGTGCCTTCGATTAATGACATGCAAATTCGAGGCATTTGCAGACAGTGGATCATAATTTGCACCACCTCTTTTTTTTTGTGCGATACATTTAGAAATGCTGCCGAATTACTGACCATGACTGCCATTCATACACATTTAGCTCTTTTAGGCTGTTCACTGGGGTCTTAAAAAAATTGTCTAACCACTTTGTAGTGGTTAGACGATATTTGTATGGGTCATGATTCACTTCTAAGCACACATTAATGTCCTCAGCAGGGATCAAACCACTTTGCTGCAATTTGTGATTAGTGTTAGTGTTCTATAGTAAATATTTGTGTAACAGATGCAGCAGTGTACGATATGAGGCCCATGAAAAAGTAGCACCGTTTGAAGGAAGTGCCCTATGCTTTCAGCAGTACATTGATGGCTGTGGGGGATCAAACAGGCTGAATGTAAGAAATACGTATTTCTAGAAATTACCGTGCAAGATCCAATGTTGTAACTCTAGAAGGTTTTTCAAAATATGCCTAAAACTGTAATCTGCGCTGAGACTCTGTGTTTGTAAGTATGTAATGTAAAGTTAACCTGTTTATAATACTTCTGTATTTAATATCCACAGGCTGGCTATCACAGGGGTAACTATATAGAAAAGCATCTGCTTTCGATGCTGTAGGTACTGGGTTCAATTCTCAGTGCCGACTGGAGACCTTACTGGTTTTTCTTTAATGGTAGAGGAGTACAGTTGTTCTTGAGCAGTCATCTCGAAAGGTAGCCCCGTCAGGTTGTGAAAGGCCCCAGGGAGCACCTTACGCACCACGATCTTGGTCTCGGCTGCTGACCTGCAGGTCGCGGGATTGAATCCCGGCTGCGGCGGCTGCATTTCCGATGGAGGCGGAAATGTTGTAGGCCCGTATGCTCAAATTTCGATGACATTGAAGAACCCCAGGTGGACGAAATTTCCGGAGCCCTCTGCTACGGCATCTCTCATAATCATATGGCGGTTTTGGTACGTTAAACTCCACATATCAATCAATCAATCAATCAATCAATCAATCAATCAATCAATCAATCAATCAATCAATCAATCAATCAATCAATCAATGATCTTGGCCAAGCATCCGCCACTGCTGTGGCGGGCAGAGAATAGCTGCCACTGGGTACCTACCGGTGTAGATACGGTGCCTGCTTGTGCACCTGGGACGGTGTGCCGGGAGTTACATGCTCTGGTGGGGCATATATCTTGCCTACAAAAGCTCTCGGTTCATGGTGTCATTTCCTCCCTCTTTATTCCTGTCACAGTTTGCATTCGAAGTTTCTGAGGTACGAGAAGCTTGGGCGAGTTGGACATCCATGAACTTCCAAAATGGAAAGTTGGGCTAGTTGAAATGCTTGCATGATTGAGACAGTGCTACAGACAAATAGGGAATGAACACCCTAAGCACTGTGTGTTCCTTTTGTACATGTCGGTAGCACTGTGTCAATCATGCAAATTAGCTTTTATTAGTGCAATACATATACAAAGCAAACACGACACACACAGGTAAGCAGAAATGTAGACGCTAAAAATAGCACCTACCTCTCGAGCGCGTCGTGCTCGCTTTGTACCGCACTAATGTAGTACTGCACGATTACAAGCTAAGTACAGTAAAACCTCATTAATTTGAACTCTGTTATTTAAAAAGCCCGCTTAATTTGAAGGATTTCTGTGGTCCCGTATTTTGTAATATAAATTTGAGTGGCGGTCAGCACTAGTCCAGTTAATTTGAAAACTTTGGGTTGCTTGTTCTAAGCCCTATTTTGTCACAAATCTGTGGAAACCGTGGCTTTTAGGAGCCACAGGGCAATGCAGTATAGTGATACTAATGAATGACAGATGAAGCATCCCAGCCACGCTTCTGCCAGCGAAAAAAAAAAAAAAAAAGATCAGCAGATTCCACGTACCTTGAGAATCGGCATTATGGGAAGCATGGGAGGAAAGGTGACCGTTGTAATTTTATTATTGAGCAACACATCATGAAATGGTGCTAAATATATGTGTCAATGTTACACGCACAGACTTGTGTTGAGCAGTTGCGATTCTTTATATAACCAGTCGCACTGGCACAACGACGCCAACAGGACCATGAATATTTGCAACACCGTAAGCAATAAGCTGATATAAAGTGCTGGCGCTCACGACGATGAGAGCCATGGACACTGCTACATAAATCAACTTCAGCGCATGGCACTTACAGTATTTACTCAATTCTACCGCGCCCTCGATTGTAACGTGCACCGGGTTTCCACGACGAAAAAAAAAAAAAAGTGAGACATCGATTGCAACGCGCACCCATTTTTCTCGTTGGCCCACACGATCACACCACTCAGGAAAAAGACTTCTTTCAGGAGCGTCTTCCGTTTAAATATGAGGTATGGGGGAAGCTTGTACCTATCTGACGTGCAACGGAGCATTGCCGTCACTCTAGTTTTACTGTGGCTTGATGTCAGCACTCGAACTTGCTTCGCCCCCTTCTTCTCGACGGTTGTGGTGCCAGGCATGTCAAAGTAAAAAGGCGTCTGATCGGCATTCCCGATTTGCCCAAGCAGGGAGCTGTTGTTGTGCCGCAAGTTTACGACAAACCTCTGAAAACTGAAGCTTTTCTTCGTACTCCTCCGGCAACTTTTGGCGTATGCCTGTTCGCCTTCAGAGGGAAAAGCCTTTCCTCTTCATAAAGTTAGTTAGCCAGCACCTGCTCGCTTTAAACTGGCTCCGCATTAGCCCTTTTTCTTAGGCTAACTGTATAGCCTGCACTTGGAACAGTTCTGTCGTCACGGCCCGCTGTGCCACTCACTGCTCAATCACATACTCGCCGAGCAACTCTTCAATTTGCGGAAACCGACCCAGCTGTGGTCCTCTGAAGCCTTTGCGTGAACCTTTGCTGTCGACAATATTCTGCTTTTGTTTCCGCCAGTCCCGCATGCACGTTTCGAGAACTATGAACGACCGCTATGCAGCCCGATTTACGTCTGTTTCGGCATACGCGATGACTTTTCTTTTAAAAGCGGCCCCCGCAGGGGCACCTGCGCAAGTAGGCGTTCGGTGTGTGGCAACACCACGGACCTGAGCTAACGGGGAAGTTTTGGCTCCCTCCCACGCCTAGTCGTGCATGGCTTTGCCGTGTCCGGTGAAAAGGGGATCCTGGGCGTTCAGCCGACGCTGGGTGATTGGACCTTTAAGGCCCTCCGGCAGAGGCAACACACCCCTTTTGCCCCGACTTCGCGTAGACGGCACCTCTGGGCTGACCCGCCCAGGGGAAATCGGCAGTCTCCTTTTCCTATTTCTCTCTCCCTACATCTTCGTCTTTATTGCTCACTTCTTAC